ATTCCTGCTTAGAAATTATTTTGAGAATGATTTTCTCATTGAAGAAAATTCAGAGTCAAATCCAGATCCCACATTAAAGGACCCCAAGTTTGCTGACATATAATTTACACATGCAATGATTTTGCTGCCTTCTTGGATACAGTTTTTTGGGGTTTATTGATTTTTTTTTTTTTTTTTTTTTAGGTTTTTGACATAGGAGACATGCACTCATCAGACAGAGACAAAGAGAACAGAAAGGGGGAGAGTGAGAAGCTCCCCTCACCCCCGCCAGGGTTGGCCACACCACAAACCCTTCTCCTCCATTCTCCTGGGATTTTGGGCATGCATACACGCACATGTCCCCCATATGATTTCCCAGCGTCCAGGCTGGGACTCAAACCGTGGTTAGCCATGTAGGAATGTAGTACATTAAGACCTAGTTACCTCACTCAAATACAGTTTTTAAATTGGTTTAATACTGAGATTTTCTCAGAGTTTTAATTTGTTGGTTAACTCTGATTATGACATCTTTACATCAAACACACATCAGAAGTGACACAGCAGCACGAGTCACACAAGGAGCACAGAGAAAGCAAATGAAATTCGAACTACATTTTCTTTATACAAAGAAAATAAAATTTAAATGAAACTCAAAGCTGAGATATTAAAGTGAAAATAGTTGCTTTGTTAAGGCAGAAAAGGAGAAGTATCTTTTGATTATTATTTTTTCCCAACATTGCTGGTATAATTTTATAACATTTGTTTAAGTTCCAGCTAGAAAGTGTAGACAGAAGATACAGAAGGAAAAATATATAGTCTCTAGGGGGGTTGGCAGGTGGCGTGATGGTTAAGGGTGCTGGATTCCCACATGGCCGACCACGGTTCAAGTCCTTGGACCTGGTGGCTTGCTTTCTCACTTTCCTGTTCTCTCTGTCTCTCTCTGGTCAAATTAAAAATAATAATACTAATAACAAATGGAATTAAATAAATATTTTTTAAAAAATAATAAGGGACCAGCAGTTAGCGTAATGGCTATGTCGCTGGACTCCCACGTAGTTGACCGGGGTTTGTGTCCCAGACCCGGTGGCTTAAAACTCATGCCGGGGTCGTGTGCATGCGTGCCCAAGATCCTGAGAGGAGAATGGAGGAGAAGGGATTGCAGCGTGACCATCCCCCCTGGGGGGTGATTTCTCGCTTTCTATCTGTCTGTCTCTCTCTGTCTGTCTGGCGAGCGCACGCACCCTATAGCAAAAACCTCTCCAAAAAAAAAAAATAATAATAATAAAAATAAAAATAAATAAAATAAATAAAAAATAATAAAAAATAAAATAGTCTTTATGTTCAATTACTCAGTACTTAATCACCACTTGAGGACACTTACAGGGGTAATTTAATTCAGTTTATTTCATAATGCAGAAAATACCTCAACTTTTATTTCTAGGTTAGATAGATTTTATCCAGGACACAAAATAGACATTGCAAATGGCTTAGAATCATCCAGGTGGCTGCTTTGTCTTGGGGTAATAAACATATAGTGCATCGCATTTTTATGTAAACATGTATTTTTATTATTTGTAGAACATTATAGTAAGCTGTAGTAAAACTGTGTAGTGTGGTAGTCAAGATTGGGGACTCCAACATCAGACTGCCTAGTTTCCAATCCAAGTTCCTCCACCTACTAATTTAGCTGCGTGGCCTTGGCTTGCTTCACCTATAACTGGGAATAATAATAGTGCTACTGTGAGAGTTAAGTGATTCAGTAGAAGTAAAGTCTTTAAAAGAGGAATGGTCCTAGTCAGCTCAGTGTTAGTTTTGCTGTTATTATTTTGTAACTCTAAATTTTAAATTTTGAATTGAACTTCCCTATATTACATGATTAACACTGCTTTTTAAGCTTAGCACATTTAACTCACTATTCCCTCCATTTTACAAATATGTAACTGAAGTGCATAAGGATTAAGTCCAAGTCACATATATCATATGCAATAGAGCTAACATATGAATTCAGGAAATCTGACCCCACGGTCCATATTACACTAAACCACAGAACACACTACCTCTCTGCCTTCACATTCAAACTCCTCCATCTTGCTTGCCTCACATGAAAATAGATAATAATTCTACATGTGAAATACTGTGAAGATTAAGGGAAAAGAAGCAATAAGTACATATTTTTTTAAATGTTGCCATTGGGCACATGTGCATGCCAGAGAGAGACAGAGAGGGAAAGTGAGAATTAAACCCCAAGAGGGAATGACCGTGCCACAATCCCTTCTCCTCCATTCTCCTCAAGTACATGCACATGTACCTGAAATGTTTTTCAAGCTGCCAGGTCCAGGAATGGAACCATGGCTGACCATGTGGGAGTTCAGCAACTGTCACCACGCCTCCTGGCCCAAACATATTAAATTTTATAAACCAAAGCTTGAAACATAGCAAGGGCACAATCTAATATCTACTGTTAAATATCTACAACATCTAAAATATATCTGACCTGTAGTAGGTCTTCAACATTCTTTAATTTTTCTATGACGCATTTAGGTGAAGGCAGATTTCAGGATTTCCTCAAGCTCATAGGATGACTCAGTAATAAAAGCTGAATTAGAACCAGTCCCTCCAGACTTCCTGTCTAATGATCGTTCTACTATATCACATTGCCAGATATAAATGAGTGGGTAATTATTTAGACTCATTGAAGAAAGTCTTTAAATAGATGCCAAGAACAGTGCTCTGACAGCTTCTTAATCTGGGATTTATGAACTTCTGGAGGCCTCACTTCTCACCCCTAGTGTTATCCTATACAAAATGCTGCGTGCTGTGTGTGTGTGTGTGTGTGAGAGAGAGAGAGAGAGAAAGAGAATGTTGCCCATCTGGCCTGTGGTAGAGAACTCTCTCCAATCCAGATTCTCTGGTTTAAAGTCAAAGTTCTTTTTAATATACAGCACAATTACTTTCTTGTTCTACAGAAAATCTTTTAAAAGATTTCCAAAAATGTGTGTATATATCTGTGCACATATGTGTGTTCAGATGTGGGTACCTATGTACGAAATACACCAGCAGGCCCTGTTTGGTAAAGCTGAAGAGTTGTGGTCAAACACACCCAGATGAAACCTCTCAGGGTTATTGTCCTCTACCCACCATGACTTGACAGAAAGCAAAGACCTGGGAATTTAAATGCACAAAGACAAAATAAGCAGAAGACAGGCATGGTGGATGTTGTGAAGGAAGCACTTAAGCCTGGAAGAAGGAAGGAGTAGTCACATCATGTGGAAAACATGCACTGTAAAACAACATACACACACACACACACACACACACACACCAAAAAAAAACCACAAACAAACCACCACTACCACCCCCAAGGAACCTGCTGAGTCAGCACTAGCAGCAGCCTTTGAACTCCAGTTACCCTTCTCCCTTTTCAGAAGGAGGTGATTCAATCTTGTAACTCCCCACCAAAATAGGGAGCTGTGAAGCACATAATTACACAGTTCCCAGGAAGTTTTCACTGAGGCCCTCAACAAGTAACCCTTATATCTTTTTTTTTTTTTTGAGAGATTTTTGTTATAGGGCACGTGTGCTCACCAGACAGACAGACAGAGAGACAGAAAGGGAGAAATCACCCCCCCCCCCAGGTGGGATGGCCACGCCACAGTCCCTTCTCCTCCATTCTCCTCTCGGGATCATGGGCACGCAGGCGCCGGACATGTTTTAAGCCACCGGGTCCAGGACTCAAACTGTGGTTGACTACTTGGGAGTCAGCAACATAGCCATTACACTAACCGCTGGTCCCAGTAACCCTTACATCTAACATGTGAATTTGCAGTTGGTTGGTCTTATGCAAACTGGGACATTTTATCTCATAATCCTAAAGGGTCACATAATGAGTCACACAACTGCAGCTGTAATAAAAGCAGAAGCTAGCACACATAAACATGGGGACAAGTTCTTGGGGTGACTGACATTTGTCACAGTTGGAAAACCAGATTTACAATTTTTGCTTTCAACTGCCTGACAGCTGAGTGAGAAGACTTGGCTCTGAGAAAATAGAGGGCATTTTCCTGAGAACATTGCTGAAGTCCTGTGAAAGAACAGAGAGGGCAAGTGCGACACAGAGAAAGGCGAGAGCACATTCCGCACTCAGTGCTCCTGCTAAGCTGAGACAGCTATCCCCCAAAACCAAACAGAACTCCACCGCTCTTTTTTTCTTTTTTTCTCTAACAGCAATTCCTAAAAGTCACTGGCAAGGAGAGACGCCTTGATTTTTTTAATACCTTGATTTTTGAAACTGAAAGCTCAAATGGCACTGTATAATCTCTCACCAGACATTCATTTGACCAGTTGTGGGCCAGGGAGTCTCCATTTTAGCGTCTAACAGACTCCCTGGGAGATTTTGCTAAACTGAAGGTTGTTAGCCACATCCTGAGTTTGGGATTCTGTAGGTCTGGGGCTGATAATCTGCATTTCTAATGAGGTCAAAAGCTGCTGATGTTGCTATGCCTAAACACACTTTGAGACTTACTACTGAAAAAGGCGTTGGGTGCAATGTGAAGAATGAATAAATTAGTCCTGCTCTCAGACCCTGGTGGGCACCGAGAAAAATGAAGGCCGGAAGAATTCTTTTATGCTAAGAGGTGTAGCGCCCAAGGTGTGGGCGCTCTCTGGGGCAGAGTGACAGAAAAGGTCACCAAGCTCAGTTGGACAGGACAGAGGATACTCTGAGCCTGACTGAAGTTTACAGCTGGGGTAGAGGGGGCACGCCGCAGCTCCCCTCAGCTCGGAGCAGATTCGGTGCCCAAGAGAGTGTCCGATATCCCATTCCAGCTTCCTTTTCCGTGAGACCTGCAGCTTTTCCTTCTTTCCCAAGGAGCTGAGCAACCGAGACGCAAGATGTAAACAAAAGCCGGGCAGGCGGGATCCGGCCAGCGCGCCCCTTCTGGCACTCCCGCTGGCCCCGGCGTTGGCCCCAGCGCACCCCGACCTTCCGGCCCTGGCTCTCCTGCCCCTCGGTCGGCCTTGCCCCGACGCCGCCGCGGTCCCCGCCTGTGGCGCCAGGGGGCCCAGCTCACCGGGCGCGCAGCTGTCCCCCACGTACTTTCCACGACTTTGCGCGGGTGCTTCCGCCCAGCACTCGCAGCAGTCGCGGGAGAAGACGACTCACCAACTGCTGGAGCCCGGCTCCAGCCGCCAGCTGACCCCAAGGGCCATCCGAGGCCCTCCAAGCGGCCAGCAGGCAGCAGAGGATTGTGCCCAGCGGCGCCATGGCTGGTCGGGCCAATGATCCCAAGAGGCTCGGCCCGCCAGCTGCTCCACTTGGATCGTCTGGCACGCGGGTGGGGAAAGCAAGTGCGGGTGTAGACGCCCAGGAGGTCACGTGAATGGGCAGATTCCACAACGAGTGGGCTCGCCTTACTTTCAGCTGCTCTCTAGTGATTATCTGCCCTTTTATTTCTTTGCATCAGTGATTGGCCAAGGAAGGAATGTTTCGGGGCCAATCTCAAGTAGATCATCTTCCAGAAATGTCACCAGGCCCAAAATGGATAAGGTTCCTCAAGAAGAGCCCTGAAATACGATTTAAATGTGGCCATTAAATATTTTAGTTAGTGTACTGGAACTTGAATTGTAGTCTCCGGAGGAGGAGCAGCGTCAGCACTACCTGGGAACTCTAGTTAGAAATGCAAATTCCCCAGCCAGGTCCAGATGTATTGAATCAAAGACAGCAAAGGTGGAGCCCCTAGCAATTGTGTTTGCTCAAACCTTCCAGGTGGTGCTACAGGGACGGTGCTGGTTGAGAACCACTGCTCGAAGATACCAAGTTAGGTTTTTGAGTTTTGTTTTTGTTGTTTGTTTTTACAACAGAGAACACGTCTCAGAATAGAGCTGGCTGTATCCCAGAGGTGCAGGGGAATCAGAAATAGAGGTCGATTTTACTCTCCCCAGGGATTGTTGGAGAGACTTAGTCTAGAAAAGAAGCCAAAATCCCCAAAGTGCATTGATCATATATATTCCATGTTCCTTCTCTTAACATTTATGAGGAGGGGCCAGCAGGTGCTGGTAGCTAAGGAGTTGGACACTCCCACGTGGCCCACCACAATTGGAGTCCTAGACCTGGTAGCTTGCTTTCTCACTTTCTCTCTCTCTCCCCCCCCCCCCCCCCCCCCCCGGCG